TGGATATTTACTAAAATAACCACTTTATTTAATCATATTTAACATTTTGACAACTTTTTTTGAAAAAACAAAAATGACTACGGGCAAGCTCGGCAAAATTAGCTGGTAGCGGGTAGCTTGTAGTTTGTAGCGTTTTGTTAAAAGTTACATGAATAAACATTTGGATTTGGAGCGTTTTGTTTAAACTAACGCTAAAAGCTTGTACTGCCGACCGAGACTTTCAGTTCAAAACGGAACGTTTTGTCAAACGCTAGAAGCTCTCAAACACTCCGTGCCGAACACGCCCTATAAGTTTTTAAAGTTGAAAATTACATTTTTCTAAACTACATACATCGAAACTTATAAGTGGTGAAGTAATCTATAAGTTTCGGGAAAGACAAAATCTTTACAAACCTTAATCTAAAAAAGAAAATCCTTTTTATGCTATTTTGGAATTTTAAAAATAACTTCCCAACTTATATAAACAATTTCATTATTATTATTATTATTATATATATATATATATATATATATATATATATATATATATATATATATTAAAGTTGTGAACAAAAGGAAGTAAACCTGACACCTTTTGCCCACTTTTGGTCCCTTGAATTACCAGTCCTTCTATTTTCCTTTGTTTCAATTTGTTAATGTAATAATGCATTTTTGTTTGTGTCCCACTTGGCAGAAACGGCCCTCCTACTTAAGTTGCTTGCTTCTCGATTTATGATATTTTCTGCATTAAAAAAAAACACCGCCTCGATCTTCCAGATCATTCCCACCGCCTCGCTTATCAGTTCCTTCCATTCCCTACCGGCCTCCAAACCACCGCCTCAGTCGGGTGTTCACCGGGTTACTGTCGACCATGGTCACCGCCTCGACCGCTCACCGCTCCACCGCCTCATCCGTTTAATAGTCGAACGTTAGATGTTTCCACTGTTTGCTATCAACTTCTTCACTTCACTCGCTGATCCACACTCCCTCTGCTAAGTTAAAGCAAGTCGTTTCGGGTACTTCCCAAATCCAGCAAAAAACGCACCGTCGACATATGGAATCGCAAAACGAATTCCATCGGCTTCTCTTTTTTGAGCATGCTCGCCGGAGTGCCGAAGTTACTTATGCGAAAAATCCTCTCGATACGGAGGTTAGGATTTTCACTATGTTTTTCAATTTTAAACATCCATCGTCCATGATACCTTTATCGTTCATGAGTTGTTGATTTGTTTTGCATGTTGATTCGCACAGAATCTAACCAGATAGGGAGGGTCGTTGCTGCTCCCGATTGATTGGAATTCGGTCCTCGGGTTTCTGTCTTCTCCATTTTCCTCCTTGGTTTACCGTTAGGGCTCCTCTATAGTTTCGCAGGGGTGGCTTGGGTGGAGGCGACATCAAGGTTTTTCGAACGAGATACCTACCATGTCATGTTATTTGACGGTAATACCAACATCTGTACACGATTATTGAAGGTTTATTACGATTAATTTCTTCCCAATGATTTTGCTTTGACGTTCGTTCGTGTTTCTTTACTAGGTATGTGTTTTATTTACTAGGGTTTTTTTTGTGTTCAATGGCTATCGCTTTTCCACTTACAGTTGAGATTGGAGTTGAAGAGTACCACACGGAAGAGCAAGATGTGTAGGTCGTTGATACTGCACATAGTCACAACGACGATGATGAAGAAGATGGTATGAATTTTCAATAATCTTTTATATCTGTATCAATAATGAATTTTTGGAATGGTATTTTTTTTCTCTAAAGGTTCTTTAGGGTTTTTTGGAATCGTTATATGTACTTTCAGCAGGTAATGTAACTAATATAACAAATTCTTAATAATCAAAAGATATGTAATAAGAAATTCCAAAAAATTCTTATATGTTTTCTAATCTTTAACAGGGCATGCAGGGAAGTCGAGACTGGATATGGGAAAATAAAACACAGGTTTACTTATTTGACCACATATAAACCCCAGTTTAATTACATTTTTTTTCAACATTCCAACACGAGCATATAAGTGGTATGTGACTATAGTTTATGCTTGAACCAATGGATTCAATTTGATAGTTACGGATCTATTTATCTTTAGTTACTATTGGCAATGAAAGTTTGTTTGGCTCTGCCTCTCACTCATCATTTTGTGCCTGCTCTCTCCAAACAGGGATCCTATACAGAGAATGACTCACATTACCCTTCAGACAAGGAACACGTCTTTCATTTTCACAGCATGAGGCGGGTAACATTAACATTGGATACAAAGTATCACCTCTCTATTTCCTTTTTATATCTGTTTGCAACAAGAAAAAAAAGACAAAATATGTCACCTTTACTAAAATGATTTCTGAAAATTGTAAGCAAAAAGTATAGTTCCCGTTCAAATTTCTCTCATTATAGCTATGTTTTATGTTTTACCAAGTATTTTATCTTTCTAGGATGTTGTTAAATCTGAAATTTTGAAAATGTTTAGCAAAAGTCTTTACACCAAAGCTAAACATGCCTACAAATCATTTGACAACAGTTACAGGTTTCCAAGTGCTAATTTTTCAGATATGCATTTGATATTGTTATTATAATTGAAGTCATGATCGTTTCCAAATATCTATAATTTATGTTGTGTTTAGAAATCAAATTCTTTGTTTTTGGAGCTATAGTCGTTAAAGGCCTTGGGAGCTTTCTTTTTATATTTCATACCACCATTGATGCTACACTCTTGGTAAGCTATTCTAAATTAAAAGGATCGTTTTGTCATTTTCTTTTGTCAAGTCAATTGAAATGCTTTACTGGATTTGGTTAAAGTTCATTTTCAGATTTTGCACCACTTGATTGTTACTCCCAACAGGATGAAATTTTTTCCTCCTCCTTTCAGTTTTTTAACATAAGTTAGATAAAAAGATAATTTTTTTTTGTTTTGTTTATATTTTGTTTAAATGGTTATGTTGCAATATGCGTGGTACAGTTACTTAAGAAACCATATTACATGTACTAAAGTGAATCAGTCAAAAAAAATTTGGTATTTTTAATAGAGGATAATTATGGAAAACTGTTGTTTTTTACGTTCTAAATGCTTTGACAATCAACTGTTGATCACAGACAAGGTTGATAAATGGAAAAATAAATGTTGTTCACAGGTGTTATATTAGAGATTATGAATTTGTTTCCATGTTTTATGTTGACTTTCAACCCACACCTGATTTCACTTTCTTTCACCATGCTGCACCCAATGGTCTTCTCATAGGTTGAAACTAATGGTTGTAATTGTATATGTATGTAATCTGATATCTGATTAGTATCTGTGTGATATGATATGAATTTATGTCTATATGTGTGTCATCTAATATGTACATTTATGTGTAATCTGGTCTTTGTACTTAATTTACTTTGTTGGGACAGATTGCTCCACAGTTTGGCAAATCCACTTTGGTTGATATTGTCCCGGGAAAGGATATTGAAAGATGAATGTATGACATCTAATCCGAGTTTCTGGGCCTTTTAGCCACCGCAACCTCAATCACCCTCAGATTTATAGAGTATGGAAGTGTATGTGTTCTTTTTATTATATGATTTTACATAAAGTTGTAGCTTATGTATTTACCATGAGTTTTGACTGAAATTGTATTAATATATTCATTGATTTGAAGTAAAAAACATTTTTTTTTGTCAAATCAAGTGCAATTTTGTTGCAATAATTTTTTTGTTTTATGTATTAATAGTTGTGGGTATTTAAATGTTCGTTTTAAAGGATCTGCCATAATAAAAAAAATATGGTCGTTGTGTTGAAAATGAGAAGGGACCTTACCTTCACATGCTTGTAAATATGATTTCTATTAAATATTTAACGATGTTTTATTTATGAAATATGGATTTATAATGATTATATATTAATTTAAATGATTTTTATTATACATTACTTTTTTTTTTATAGGCATGAGCAGGTTGGTTTTTAGTGTTTAGTCTTTTCCAGCCTCTATAATCTCTTTCAATTTAGCAATGTACATTTTTTTTTAATTCTTTTTTTTATAGCATACTACAACACTTTGATATCTTTTCTTATTAACACATTGTCCTGTAAAAATTCTATCCAATTATTGGATTGTATTTACACGTTTGTAAATGGACAAATCTCCTACAATGGCAACGTACTTTATTGTCGCTAACAACTTAGGCAATGTACTTTACTTTTACGCAAAAGCAACACCTTCCGCCCCCGCAATGCGGGGGGGGGGGGGGGGGGAACTTTCTAGTTACTAATAAAATTTTAAGGTCTAATGAAAATACTAGAGTTTTTTTTGGTGGAAAACAATTTCGAATCTCTTGAAAAAAAACATTTAAGGTTTAGTTAATTTAATAAACACCATTAGCAAGGTTCTAAATAACGTAAGGCGTGACTTGGCAACAATGTTAAGCCTCAAGCTTTTCCGAGCCTTGGCGAGTCACGACGTTTGTAAGGCGTGACTTAAGACGTTAATTTTCGACATAATTAATATTTTTATATGTATTTTCAACTATTATTCATTTTTATATACATATATGAGTTAAGGCGGCGTTTTGATAAAGCTTGACGGCATGTGCAAGCCTTGGAGCCGTGGCGGAGCCATAACGAGCTTTTTAGAACTTTGCCCATTAGTAACAAACATTTTAAACAAGAGAAATTAAATATACTTTTACTTTTTATTTCTACATATCTTTCTATCCAAATCCAATTAAATAGTGACGTCCAATTAAATAGTAAAAAATATGAGGATATTTAATTGTGTTCCACAAACGCAAAATCAATCAAAATAAATCAAGCCTCTAAATTGTCTTCTTTTATACTAACTTATTATGTATTACTTTTGTTATTTTTAGTTGTCAAATCCTTGTATTACACCAGTTTTAACCTGGTATTGTAATCTATAAAACACATTTAGCCATCTAACACCTCAACGGAGAGGATTAACAAGTAGGTGATACAAAAGTGAGGATCCTTTTCTTATTCAATTATTAGGATTCAAAAAACTTATTCCAGATCACACAAACAAAAATCACAGCCCAAGAGAGAAAGGGAAGCCGGTGGCTCTTAACCAACTACCACCATCGATAAAGTTTCCGGCAGTAAAACCTCCAGCTTCCGTAGCATCCCTAATCACCCTGTACCCTCTCCATGTCACTCTATTCGCCGTAGCAGCTCCAGCCCCTGTATTTTGGTACTCTCCGTAATACAACGTATTAAGTGCAAAATCCCCGTTCCAAGGAAACCATCCTGCCGGATTTATCACGTTGCTTATCGTTGATTGCATCACCACTGTCCTCGAGTATTCCCTCCAAGGCCTCCCTAGGTATGTCGGAAAGCTTCCTTGCACCGGTAGAAGGTCTGATGTAGCTCCTATCCTTGATTTTTGTATCACAATTCCTGTATTCTGGTTAGGGTCGCTTCGGCCTTGAGCTGTAACCATGTTCCTTTGGTTTGGGTTAGGACGACGAGCGTGTATATCACAATTTTGAAAAACGGCTGCAGCATTGCCAAATATGAAGTCGACTGTGCCTGCTATGAAGCAGTTGATATAGAATTGACGATTGGAATGAACGTAAAGGGTGTCTTGGTATGCTATCATGTCACATAGGTAGAATGCAGAGAGATCGGATCCGACTCGTAGTGCCACCGCTTGGTTCCCTGAGGGCCCAGCGGTGTTTTTGAAACGTTATGTCCCGCGCTAGAAATCCAGCACCCACAGCCGCTGCATAAACCACTCGGAATAATGAATAGAGTCAAGTTTTATAGGTGATAATGCCGACAGGAAAAGACGATGAACCAACTCCATTTGCGGAATTGAATAGAAAAAAAACAGGTAAAATGTATATGTATCGACAACCCTAATGAAGATTAGGATATATATGGTACTGACCGACAGTTGCAGAATTGAATGTGGTGCTGCCGCCGGCAACACTTCTGCTTCCGGTGATTATTGTGGAAGTTCTTCCGGAACCCAGAAACATCAAGTTCCTTTTATTACTAGGAATGTTGACATTTTCCCTGTACACCCCTGCTGCTATCCTAATCACATACCTGGTTGCGCTTGAAGCCGGAGCAGCAGCCACGGCAGCAGAAACCGTTGTAAAGTTACCACTTCCATTCGCGGCTACAGTCACGTTAGGCGTCACTGTCCCTAACTGCAACAGCTTTCTGTCACCAATGGACAACCACTCCGGCCACTCGTCATCCTCTTCCTCCTTTAACTTCCGCCCATTTATCTCGACTTGGTTGGCCATATCTGTGTCGGTCATGTTCTTGATCATGGCTAATGATATACTACACAACTTCTCGGCGTGGATCTCTCCAGCGATAAGCGATTCTCGAAGCTGCCTATCATGTTTGTCGTGTGAGAATCCGTCAATGCATGTTTCCTGGTTGGTCAAGGTGGTGCTCATAAGTGTCATCAAGCCATCAACATGTCGGCGACTCCCTTTCTTCATCGGATAAGCACTCAGGATAGCGATGACCTGGTTGAGTTCCTGAAGTGTCTCGGCGACCATCTCCAGACAGTCATGGAGAGCGATTTTCTGACGTTTCGTGAGATCAGTCTTAACTGTAAGCTTCTTTATGGTGAAGTAGTTTCTTTGGACTATCTCTTTGGTTTTATTGACAGCGAGTTCGATGACGTCTTTTGGAGTTGTGATTTTTTCGGTGATTTCAGGGATACCGGAAAGTGTGGAGTAGCATAGATCCGGGTGTAGGGTGGCACTACAGAATGATTTGACGATGACGTGAGCTGTGGAGGACTCGATGTTGATGTTAGGGGATTGAGAGTTAACTCCGACTACAATGCCATTAACAGCAGAGAAAAGTAGGATTGAAGCAAAAACCCTGAAAAAGAACTTTTTGTTGTTGCCAAAATCCGGCATTCCGGCGAAGAGGTGACTGTTCATTAGATGAAGTGATGAAGAAGAGTGAGAGGATGTAGGGCGTTGGGTGTCATATATATCGTGTGTCCATAATGGATATTTATTTCAGTTATATCATATGACCCTACTATAATTGAAAGTGTAGCAGATATTTGCCCCCCTCTATCTTCATGCTAAATATAGAACTATTTAAACACGCGCCTATTATTTATGGTGTCTGATGCGTCCATTAATATGTGTGCTTTCATTTAAAGTTGACAGATACAAGTTTTGAAAAATACTATTTAACGTAAATAAGTTAACATTTTTTTGAATTATGAAAAATATTTGCAATATACAGAAATGAAAAAAAGAATATATGAATCAGCTAAAAACAGGAAACAAAAAAGAACATATCACTAAACCACAAAATATCCAACCATACACTTTATTTATCTTCTAGATTCATATATGTTTGCTACTTCCTACGCTTTTTGCTTTTATTTTGTAGTTGGGTGAATGGATATAAACTAACGACAGCCTCTTTAATAACAAATTCAGATGATGTATTTGCTAAAAGGCCTACATCCCACCCTAGTTTGACCCGGTATCTTTGAAGGTTTAAAGAGGATTGAGAATTTGGGATAAAAAAAAAAAAAAAAAAAAAAAGGGTAAATTACACCGTTGGTCCCTCGTGCACATGCCAGAAAGCGTGTTTAGTCCCTATTTCCAAAATTTAACTCGGGCAGTCCCTCGTTGTTATTTATCTTGCACGGATAGTCCCTATGCACGTTAACCGTTAAATGCTTCCGTTTAAGCTACCCACGTGCCTTGCATGCAAGGGCATTTTCGTCTTTTCAGGGTTTGTGTCGATTCTTAATGCCGTTGCACCTTAAAATCTTATAAAACACTGCAACCCTCTTTTCCTCTGCTATCCTCTCCTTCGTCTCCTCCCCTCGATCGATCGATTTCTTCTAAATAGATAACAATGATCGATATTAAATGCAATTGTGGAGCCACTGCAGTGATTCGCACATCTTATAGCAAAAGAAACCCTGGGAAACTCTACTATGCTTGTACAGTAAAGGTAAGGTTAATGATTTTAATTTCGTTCTTCATCTTCTCTAATTTTGCCCTAATTCTTCATCTACTTTAATTGGTTCAGGGACCATTATGCAAGTTCATAGGATGGGTGAATGATTATGATCAGGACTGTGATTGTATGGCATTTAGGATGAAAGTTGAAGAACAAAATCGCAAATTGAAGCTTTACCTAGTTATTAGCTGGGTTTTTTTTGTTTCAGTCCTTATATATAAAGTGTAGGTTTAGTAATGAAGTTGTTAGTATTTTGTTATGTGTATTTTATATTGTTATTTGTATTATGAAAAAACCTTCAATTCCAGTTACAATATGTTGTGTAATCATAATGTGGTGTTATCAGTTGGTATACATATAGTTATCCTAGATAGCAACATATGCAATATACCATTCAATACATGTAGCATCCAATATAACAATAAAAAGGACAAAACTTAAAATATCCAAGATAACCATTTACCATTAACATAAAGGGACATCCAAAATAGCAACATAGTGTTATGGCATACATATAGTTATCCTAGATAGCAACAAAGTATCAAAATACAAAACATAACAACAAAGTAATATGGCAATAAATGCCTAATAAAAACATAGTTATCCTTCATGATCATGATACCAAACTACAAATTCTCAAAGCATGGGGCTTTTTCCCTTCTTCCCAACTCCTTTATTTACACCACCACTGCTACCTGCAGCACCTTCTCCTGTTGTATTCCCTGCTGCACCTTCTCCTGTTCCATTCCCAGTCTGTGATTGTCCCTTGCAGGTCCTTCCATTATGTCCCACATTTCCACATTTTGTGCATGTTACAGATTTCCATTTTGAGGACACTCCATCATCTTTTGTTGCAGATCTTCTTCTCTTTTTCTTTGGTCTGCCAATAGGGACACGATACTTTGGTGGTATCAACTTGGTAGGACATGTGCTTTTTTCCCACAAAAACCTCCCATTAATAGGTTCAACTTTGAAGACATACATTTCTTTCCAAGTCTTGAGCCAATATGTTGGGTGAACCCATGTCTCAGGTATTCCAACAGTTTCATTGTTGAGCCTCATATCTCATATACATGCTATATTATGTTTGCAGGGTATGTCTGTCAGTTCCCACCTGTTACATGAACAAGTTTGTTGTTCCATATTAACCACATATTGATTAGTACCTTCACTTGTAACCTGGTACTTCCCATTGCCACAGAACACTGCCCTACACTGTACTGCCCTTTCTTTAGTTTTTTGAAGGGTCTTAGTGGCTGTAGGAGTTAATGGGCCATTAGCTTTGTCAATTTCTTTTTGAACCATGACAATTTTCCTCATGATATACTCCCTAATAAACTCCAAGCAACTGATAATTGGCTTATCACGACCCTTCACTATCTTGTTATTCAAACTCTCACACATATTATTCAACAAAGCATCACAATGTGCCCTCCCTGATATAACACAACTGTATTAGATTATATTTAAAAATTATACACTTATTAACATAATATTATATACCTGAGAAGTGGGATCTGGACCAGTGCTTAGGTGGAATAGAATTAAGCCAGTCATATGCTTCACTGTTAAGTTTCTTTAGTTCTTCCATGACACTGTTGAATTGTGGTATGGTGGTACATGTTGCACAATTCCAAAGACAATCTTTTGACTTGGTACCACTTTGTCATTACTTTTGCTGGTCCCACCTGTTTCTAATATCCCAAGGTTTGGTATTGTCCCTTTACAAACCACTCTAATCCTGTTTTTGTCATTCTTGACGAAGTCTAACTCCCTTCTAGTCTGTATGGAATGAAGAAAAATTTGTTGTTTAACTTCCTTGGTTGTGCTAAAAGTCTGGTGGATGTAAAATGGATCTTTGACAACAACTGCTTCATTCTTATGTGCTCTTTGTAAATCTCTTATCTTCTTCCTTTTTTTACTAGCTTCACCCTCATCTGATGAAGATGCAGATACTAATTCTTCAGTGTCTATAACCTCTAATTCTTCATCACCTTCTACTGCTTCATCTCGATCATCAGGAAAACTTCCAACCCACTCCACCTCTTTATCAATGTTGAGGTGAAAGTTCTTCATATCAACCTCTGGATCATCTAACAAATTATCTTCATCAACTATGTAATCACTATCTTGACTGTCTTCACTATCTTCATTGTCTTCACTATCATGACTGTCTTTACTAGCTTGACTGTCTTCACCTGCTTTTTCAATATTTGGTTCAACTTGTTCCATAGGAGTCCCACCAAAAGGTTCACACCATTCAAATGTATCATCCCACCCATCAACATTAGGACATGTGCTTCTCATCATTGGTTCAGTCAAAGGGCTTTCAATTCTTGGTATATAGGCAGGGGTTGACTCAACTGTTTCACTCAATGTAACAGGGGGTTGTTCCAAGGTTGTTTCAAGTAATGTACTAGGGGGTTGGTCCATAGTTTCTACATTCTCAAAAACAGGGGCTTCTTCACTAGGACCATCCCCTGAATTTGACCATGTCAATAACAACCTTTTACGACAAAGAGACTCAGGAATTTCGTGTATCTTTATCTTTGCAGGGTTTGGGGACATTTGATACGTATGCAGCTTAGTTTCCCAAAACTCTGTATACACTTCCATCACCTTGTGTTCATAAACGTATGACCTAAAGTGGTTTATATTTTCGTCACAGCCCAAAGCATACAACCCAAAATCTAAATCCCAGGTTGGTCGTCTGAAATGGTAGTAAATACTTTTACCTGGTTCCACACAATCAAGCAATTCCATTATCTCATCCATATCATGCACCGAGAACAAGTCACTATCAATGCCATCAATATATTTCATCTTCCCCTTTATGTATTTGCGGCCTGGAAACTTCGTAAAAACTCCACCATAGTTTAATCGTATCGAGAACATAGATGGATTGTCAGCTGCGAACCCAAAAAATAAAAAATAAAATAAAATTTTTTACCTTTTAGGAATGTATAATGGATAATCAACTGAAAATGTAGAAAATTTTACCGTATGAGCTTTGGAGATCGTATTCCTCCAATTCTTCCTAATCCTCCAGTTCACCATCGTAGAAAACTAGGGTTTTCTTGTGCAATGCTAAGGGTCGACGGAGGATGAAATGAGAAATGATCGGTTATCGAAGTCGCGTCATAATGGTTCATGTATACAAACCCTGAAAAGACGAAAATGCCCCTGCGTGCAAGGCACGTGGGTAGCTTAAACGGAAGCATTTAACGGTTAACGTGCATAGGGACTATCCGTGCAAGATAAATAACAACGAGGGACTGCCCGAGTTAAATTTTGGAAATAGGGACTAAACACGCTTTCTGGCATGTACACGAGGGACCAACGGTGTAATTTACCCAAAAAAAAATGACTTAGGAGAATAAAGTAGTGTTTGATATCTATAATAATCGGAGAGGGAATGGTCTGTAAAATAATCTGTGTTTGGGTGAAGTTCTCAAAACAAAAGTCCTCATCTCTCTTTTGATGGGTTTTTGACAAGAATGGTTTTGATGGGTTTTTGATAAGAATGGTGTTTTGGAAAATTTTATTTACTAAATAGGTATAATTTTAAAAATATTTACTGTTGAAACAAAGGTCAATTAGGATCGATAGATTCTATGCAGACAAACAATTAAGAACGTAATTATGAACACAAGAATGGCTTTGAATGTGTCGTATGATTAATGCTTCAACACCTCAGAAGAGCTCGATTAAGAACTTCGACTGTAGAGGTGTTTAGGGTTACAAAAACTAAAAACGATAATAATCACGAACGTTAACCTTTTAATGCATACATGCATGCATTATTTATAGTCTAACCCTACCAGCTAATCACGGATGGACAGGCCCAATCCGGATACAAAACACAAGCCCATGACGCAACACAATTAGACTCAACAATCTCCCCCTTTGCGTCAATGGAGCCGAAAGCTCACTTCGGTTGAGCTGCAGAAGACTTCTTTA